TACATGCTTTCCTCCATTCATCAAAGTGTCTTCCTGATTTCCCAACCTGATTGTACACAGCTACATTTGGACTCAGTGATGTCAAACGTTGTTCACCTCAGAATGAATATTTGATTCTAATTAGAGTTGTATAGCTTTTGTATCTTCCCAAGTAAACAATTCTTGCCAGTATTTATATTTGTTTATTTTGTTCTGGGAAGCCCCAGTGTCCTCCCTAAGATGTAAGAACTCACCATTGGGCTCTGATAGCTAGTCTTTCTCTCTCTTGTTTCATTTATTCTTTGTTTTCAGGCATGAGTTTTGGTGGAAACAATTGCATAGTTGTCGCCTATACTGGTTTTCTTTTCTAATTCATTAATTAAACCCCTAAACTTCCTTTGCAGTCAGGTGTAGACAATGGCTATTTTTGGTCAATGGAATATTAGCAAAAGTAGGATTATACCATCCCAGACCAAAAACCAAACCCACTGTGATCTAGGGGATTTGACTCATAGCAATCTTATAGCGAAGAGTACAACTGTCCCATAGGTTTCTCAAGGTTGTAAATCTTTATGGACACAGACTGCCTCATCTCCTGCAGACTAGAAGGTGGGTTTGAACTGCAGACCTTTTGATTAGTAGCCAGATGCTCTAACCACTACATCAGAAATCCTTACCATCCCAGAGTTTCCACAAAATGTGAGGGTGTTCCCCCTGGCTTTTTTCCTTTCTTGGGGATGGAATGTAGACATGATAGCTGTTGCTAGAGCAGACATCTTGGACTACAAGACACAAGAAACATATTAAGAATGACAGAGCTATGATGTCAGGTGGGAAATTAGCTTCATTGCAACAATAGCTTCAAATATACTACCAGGCAGGCCATTCCTGAGGTCATAGAAGGAAAAAGCTCACAGAAATTTAAGATCCCAGAGTTCTTGATTTTTTTCAATTTATTGAATTGATTTAAAACATAGTGAGAAGCAAGGGGAAAGAGATGGGCAGGTTAACACATTTAGAATAGATTGCAAATGAGATAGTTGCATTATCTGAATCCTCAGTTACGCATCATTCATATGTGCCGGCTCTCTTTCTCTCTGCCTTATCAGTCTTCCCACTGAAAGTGTGGTTATGACAACCATAGTTGATGATGAGTGTAGGGGCGAGGTGCTTAGAAGTCATTTGAAGCAGCACATTTATCTATTGGACAAGTACAGGGCCACTGGCCTAGCTCCCCAATGAAGTTCCCAGTAGCTGTGCCTTTTATGTTCACGTTACTGTTGTTGTTTTGTGCTGTCAAGTCAGCCCAACTCATAGGGACCCCTCCTTGGGTTTCCGAGGCAGTATCACTACGGAAGTAGATTGCCCCATCTTTCTTCCTGGCAGACAGCAAATGGGGCCAAAATGGGTGTCACCAATGAGTGGTCCATTTAAGAATTCTAAATATTTGGTGTCTCACAAATATTTGGCACTTCCTGATTCTTTCCTCTCTTCCTGTGTGATTTTTTTTTCTGCATCAAACATGTCTCACAGGTTACTAATTTAACATTTATAGTGAACATAGCTTTTGGATTTTACCTTCATATCACAAGCCCCTTGGTTACCTACTTAATTCTTATGAGCGTCTTACTTATGAAATTCCTACTTAACATTCCCTCTGAGTTCCATCCATCCCATTTGGTGGTGGTGTTGTTTTGGTCCTCATTAGCAGAATTCAATAGAACAGATGTGAGAACACGTTCTCAAATAATACAGCAAACACACAATACACATAGGAGTTAGGTTCCTCAAGATAGAGGAACTCCTATTCCAGTGCTGAGCAATATATACCTATATATGAAAGAGAGAAATACTTCTATTTTGTTTCATCAGTGATTATTATAGGTTGTCACTTTTGGGAGTTATCTGATAACTGTTGCACACTGAAGAGATCTTATCTTATTAAAAAATCCTTGAGAAGCATAATGGACAAAGTTTGTAATTATAGTATTCCTTCCTACATTTTTGTATGATACTACCATTTTAGTATAGCAATGCACTAGTTCCACAAAGGGAGCTCTGGTAGCATAGTGGCTAAGACACTTGCCTGCTAACCAGACGGCTGGCGGTACAAACCCACCAGCCACTCCTCGGAAGGAAGGTTGGGCAATCCTACTTCTGTAGTGATACTGCCTCGGAAACCCAAGGAGGGGTTGCTATGAGTCGGGTTTGACTCGATGGCATATAACAACAACAACAACAGTTCCACAAAATTCTTGATAAGAAATGGCCAGAAAAGCATATAAATGTATAATTCCTGTTCTCACCTACAGCACATACAGACTTGAACTGTGCATATTTTTGTGACTCATTCTCTATCAAAACACACATTCATATATACACACTCAATTTTGGGAAATAGACTGAGCAAAAAAAAAAAAAAAAAATTCCCTCCTTTACACTTCTGTTCACAGAATTCCTTTGGCCAAGCCACAGTTTCTATGACTGTCCCAGGAAGGCAAGTGGCAGTTCAACGTAAAATCCATCTCTGTCTCTTATTTCCTTGACCTCTCTCCTGCTCCACCTTCCCTCCAGGACTGCCTCCAGGGAACTTGAAATTTTCCAAGATTAAGTCCAGTCAGATTTCAGCAATGCCGTACTCCCAAACTCAGGTTGATGCTTCCCTTTTCTGTGAGTCTGTAAGATGATTGTTTAAATATTGGTCTTAGACTACAAGCCATTAGGACAGGGATAGTTTCTATCCTGTTCACTTGTTAGTACTGATCAGTCACTTTCTGCAATTTAACAAGCTCTCAATAAACTCCCAAGTCCTAGACTACCTAATTGACACTTCCATTCAGTAAAGAATTCTGGTGAATGATTCAACAGAGAAATGTCCAGGAGGGAAAATTGCATTGAGTGGATTTAGCAAGGTGAAGTGATAGAAAGGCTCTAATATTACAAGTAGCCTGTCATGTGCACACCAATTAATCTCTCACAGTTTTCTGAAAACCTGTAATATAATTTGTATTTTTTTGATTATCTTTTCAAGGGAACTGTCCAAGACTGGATTCCTTGCTAGCTGCAGCCAACCACATTACCAAAGAATAAAAGCAAGCCACATTTTATTCATAGGCTCTTTTCTTTTACAAAACCTTTTCTCAAAGGTAACACCCTAAACTTACTATGTATTACTTGCAGAAAAGAGCTAAGATTTTGAGTAGTGTATTGGTCTGGTTTTCTGCTTCCCAACCCCTTCAATGTGTTATGAAAGGAAATCCTCATCCTATCAGGAATACAGTTTATCATACCTTTCTATGTTAATAGTTTCTAAATGTTTGCATACAAAGGATACTCACACTACATAGCACCAATTCACAAATAACTCAAATTTACTGCTTCCAGACCACAGTGGAGGTGCTGCCCCAAATTTCTCTAAATAAAGCAATTAATATTCCTTCCCATTTGCTTGTATTGCTTCTCTATTTGCTTTCCTAATGCTTACCCCTAGTTCAAGTTAAAGAAAGTATTAGCTCCACCGAGAACAAGAACAGGAGAGCAGTACATGAATAGAACAAACCTGTTTGGTGTTAGGGCTCTTCCTTGAATCTGTGAATGGCTCTGAAAAGAGCCTTTGGGATCGACGGTTCGGTGCTTATGTAAGCATTACATTTACTTGGAGCTGGTGTACTTGGTGACAGCCTTGGTGCCCTCCGACACGGCGTGCTTGGCCAGCTCCCCAGGCAGCAGCAGGCGCACGGCAGTCTGGATCTCCCTGGAAGTGATAGTCGAACGCTTGTTGTAATGAGCCAGGCGAGAGGCTTCACCGGCTATGCGCTCGAAAATGTCGTTGACAAACGAGTTCATGATGCCCATGGCCTTGGACGAGATGCCGGTGTCCGGATGGACCTGCTTGAGAACCTTGTACACGTACACAGAATAGCTCTCCTTCCGGCTACGCTTGCGCTTCTTGCCATCTTTCTTCTGCGCTTTGGTCACCGCCTTCTTGGAGCCCTTTTTCGGGGCCGGCGCGGACTTCGCTGGCTCCGGCATAGCTGCAATCTCTTTGAGCTGAAACAGAACAGTACAATGCCAGGCTGCACTATTTTTGTAGAGCTTCTATGCAAATGCAACCTTACTTTATTCAATCTCTGATTGGAACAAATCAGTTAGTACTAGGCGTTTATGCAAATAAAAAAGTCTACCTATGATTGGCTGTGTAAGTGGAACCTACCCTAAGTTCTTTTCTCCATTTAAAAAAAGGATACTTTTCGTTTTGAAAACTATTAAAAAATTAAATTTGTCTTGCAAATAGTATCTAGTTATGAAACCAGTCTGTCTTTTCCCTTTTCCCCCAACTGGACCTAAAGAAGGGCAAAAGTGGTATAAAGTAATGGCTGTCTGCCAAGGGCGCTTAGAATTTTTTGAAGAATTAAGTATAGGAAAGAAAATAGAAACATTAGCCAAATATTCAAATGTTTTCAAAATTATGCCATAGTTGTTCGTAGTTAGTTTGGTCAGTAGTATTCTTACATATTCAAACATTTTCAAGAGTCAAAAGAACGTCATGTTACAACGGGAAGCCATTTTAATGCTCGGAGGTAAGAAAGAATGGAGGTGTACTTAATGTTGCTAAACATTTAAGGCTAACTTTCAAAGATGAAGAAAAGACAATGCACCCACCAATCATGTTCAAGCTCAGGCTTTTGAAATGGCCAAAAAGTTTACATTCTCTGGCTCATGAGGTTCAGAAAATTCATTTCCGTGTCTCCCAAACCGTCTTTTCCTCCTAGAGTAAATACCAAGTGGATTAAAAGAAAATAAATTAGGGTGCATGTACGAGAACTCGAATAAAATTAAGCACATTTCAATAGGTCGAAGTTCTAAAGTGAGACCTGGTAGCCAATCACAAGACCTATTACATTAACTTAATTCAAGGCGCGCAGTTTGAATATGCGGGCCAATCAGGAGGCCCTTGCCTTTATAAATAGGAGTAAGGGAAATTGCTCGGTTCACTGCTTTAAGATCTCTTGGTATTTGTAATGGCTCGTACCAAGCAGACAGCTCGCAAATCCACCGGCGGCAAGGCGCCACGCAAGCAGTTGGCTACCAAGGCTGCCCGCAAGAGCGCGCCAGCCACCGGCGGCGTGAAGAAGCCTCATCGCTACCGCCCAGGCACCGTGGCGCTGAGAGAGATCCGGCGCTACCAGAAGTCGACCGAACTGCTGATCCGTAAGCTGCCGTTCCAGCGGCTGGTGCGTGAGATAGCGCAGGACTTCAAAACTGACCTGCGCTTTCAGAGCTCGGCTGTGATGGCCCTGCAGGAGGCGTGCGAGGCCTATCTTGTGGGACTCTTTGAAGACACCAACCTGTGCGCCATCCACGCCAAGCGTGTCACTATCATGCCTAAGGACATTCAGCTGGCCCGCCGCATTCGCGGCGAGAGGGCGTAAGTTCTACCGAGTGAGTGCTAGCTTCGAACCCAAAGGCTCTTTTCAGAGCCAACCATGTTCTCTGTGGAAAGTGCTGTAATAAAAGGAGAAGATCAGAAGCAAAAGACAATATTGGAAAACCGGAGGAGGAATTCAGCTTTCTGGAAGTGTGTGGCTATAGTAACAGCATAGTGGCTAAAGCACTTGACTGCTAACCAGAAGGCTGGCGGTTCAAACCCACCAGCCACTCCTCGGAAGGAAGGTTGGGCAATCCTACTTCCGTAGTGATACTGCCTCGGAAACTCAAGGAGGGGTCGCTATGAGTCGGGGCCGACTCGACGGCACATAACAACAACAACAAGTTAAACTATAATTCTAGTAGAAAAGCTGTATCGCACAGTAAGAGCCCTTAGTTCAGAGAAGTCTTCAGGTGGGAGATGGGGCTTGAGGACCTACCGGCCGCTACCAACCTCGCTCACTACCTGGTCCTGCACGGTAGGCCTGCTCGCCGCCACTCGTGAGCGGGCCATCTCCTGTACTCCAGTGAGGCATAACTTTCCACATTCCCTCCCTCGTGGTAGTTGGCTGTAGTGAATTCTGCCTTTACCTTTCTTGCTGTGTCTTTGAATGATCAAGTACTTAAAAGGAGTGGCCCTCTTGACTTCTAGGAAAACTTCGTGGTGGCCAAAAGTGCATTAGCTCCTTAGTGACCTTTTTTTTTTTTTTTTAAATGTCTGAAAATTAGCCAGCAAATTAGGCTCTTACCTAGCTATTTATATCGTTCAGTGATACTGGATATACTTTTCACAATGTGTCAACATTCACTTCAATTCTGGCTGTTCCTTAGTGAAGTCAAAAGTCACAATGAAGACCGCTGAGGTAGAGTAGTACCTTGCTCTTGAGAACTCGGTCTAACAGTTTAAGGAAGAAACAATGTTTTCAATCGCATGTTCAACTTAATGTTGAATTTGGCGGATAGAAGATAAAAGAGTGAAGCACTTTGAGTCAGTACAGATTTCACATGGATTTAGCTTCACCTTGTCATAAAAAGAAAACATCTCTGGATCACTCAGGAAATAAATACTATTGGTTTCAATGTTACAACTTTATCCACTAATAGTAACCCTGTTGTAGTTCCTGCAATAGCAAGTAACCCTATTGGTTTGGGTATCCATGGAGGGCTTCAGGTTTTACTAGTTGAGTTTGAATATATCCAATTTATGAATTAAGTCAGGTGCAGTGGCCATTTATGTCAAACCCTGAAATGAGGGTCCTGAACATGGGAAAATCTCTTCAGAGCATGCTCTAAAATCCTGAATCATGGCTGGCCTACAAGTGCAGCAGTTGACATAAAATCAGAAATTAATCATATGCTTAATGGAAGGAAGGTTGGGCAATCTACTTCCATAGTGATACCACCTTGGAAACCCAAGGAGGGGTCGCAATGACTCGGGTCTGACTCGATGGCACTTAACAACAACAATCCTCAGTGGTCTTCACTGTGACTTTGATGATCGCTAAGGAACAGCCAGGAATGAAGTGAATGTTGACACATTGTGAAAAGTATAACCAGTATCGCTGAATAATATAAATAGTTAACTGAGAGCCCAATTTGCTGGGCAATTTTCACCAGACATTTAAAAAAAAAAAAAAATCAGTAAGGGGTTAATGCACTTTTGGCCGCAGCAGTTTTCCTAGAAGTCAAGAGGGCCACTCCTTTTAAGTACTAGACCATTCAAAGACACAGCAGGAAAGGTAAAGGCAGAATTCACCACAGCCAACTACCATGAGATTTAGTGAGACTGGAACTCGTTAGGAATCCAGTAATGCAGGAAATGATGAGAGAAATGATATATCCTTGAGCAGTTGGGAAAAACTTCCGAGGAGGGGACACAATGCATGCAGATCGATACTCAAGAACCATGCTGAGCTGTGTAATACATCTTCAGGTGAATGGAGATGTTATCCAACCCATGCATTCCACAGGTTTCCCAGAGTTTGTCAACTTCCAGGGTACCACTGGCAGTGTCTGTGGACCAGTAGTGCTGCCAGTGGCATGGGCAGAGCACAATAGCAAATTTTGGGCCTGGAGTTGTTGTTGTTGATAGGTGCCCTTGAATTAGTCCAACTCAGAGTGACATACAGCAAGCAGAATGAAACACTGTCTGGTCCACCATCGGTTACCCTACTGTTATTTGAAATACTGGGGGCAGAGGCTCCAGCCTCACAGCAACATGTAAGCCACCACAGTGCGACAAACTGACAGACAGGGCCTGGAGTAGGAGTGAGCAAATATCTGAAAACTCACACTTTGTGCAGCCTGTATCTGCTCCTTATATGAGAAACGTTCTGTCTGCTTCTATAATGCTCTCAAATTCCATAAGATATAAGCCACTATTATGCTTTCAAAATATTCATAATGTGAATTTAGAAATAGAAATGTATCTATTTTTATGAGGTTCTCTAACATTAACTATAAGCAATTAAAACCAACAAACCCAAACTCAGGGCCACGGAGTCAATTCCGACTCAGGGACCCCCACTGATTTTCCAAGGCTGTATGTAAATCTTTACAGAAGAGTGCTCCATCTTTCTTCCGTAGAGCAACTGGTGGGTTTGAACCACTGACCTTTTTGGTTAGCAGCTAAATGCCTTAACCACAGCATCACCAGAGCTCCTTACCTGTAAGTCATTAACCAAAACCAAGCCAAACTCACTGCATGGAGTTGGATCCAACTCACACAGACTCTTCCTTGGGTTTCTGAGGCGGTATCACTACAGAAGAACTAACGTTCTTTCCGAGGAGAGGCTGGTGGCTTTGAACTGCCAGCCTTCTGGTTAGCAGTCAAATGCCCTTGGCATTACGTCACCAGAGCTCCCTATAAGCCATTGAACTAAACTCACTGCCATGTGTAAGCCATTGTTGTTGTTGTTGTTGTTTGCCGTCGAGTCGGGAGTCGGGCCCCGACTCATAGCGACCCCTCCTTGGGTTTCCGAGGCAGTATCACTATGGAAAGTAGGATTGCCCAACCTTCCTTCCGAGGAGTGGCTGGTGGGTTTGAACCGCCAGCCTTCTGGT